ATTGCTATTGCTTTCTCAATAAAATTAATTTTAAAAAAGATTAGACATTTGGTTGGATATTATCACTTGCTATCAAGCAACCTTTAAAAAATCAGCTTTGAGACTAAATAAAAACATTATCAAAATCTGACTTTCAGTTGACTACGGAAGACTAAAACTGTGTCAAATAAAATATTTAATAAGATGTCTACAAATTCCCAAAATCTTGGCTGGAAGCTAGTTTTCAATAGACATTTGTTTTGAAGCACCTGCAATTCTCTAAAGATTTTAGTGACTTATAACTCTTGTGCCACAACCTCATCAAAGGGAATGCATAATGTTATTCACTGTGTGCATGGCTGTGTGACACGACGAGAGCTGGCATGCATGTTGGAGACACATTCACCAGAATCTTAGCTTGGTCCTTCATTCTCTTAGCAAACTTACCTCAGAAATTTAATTTTGCTCCTGCCCCTTAAAATTGCCCTTATGTCAATACCTTAAGGGTTTTGCTTGAAATTCTGAATAACACACAGACATTTGAATGGAAGTGTAATAAATAAAGACATTGATGTAGGCATTTTTACAAAGCGTAAAACATGCCCTTGATATCTCACTGGTGTATTCTACCAAAAGTTAAAACAAGACTAGTTTTATTGAAAATTTTCAAAAAGCTAGATTAAGAAGCACTGAATGACTTACCCTAAGATAGAATGACTCTGATAATAAAAACCAGATACAATCATTACAAGGAAAAAACCTACAAAGTAGTATTTAATATGAATATGTGTGTGTGTGTTTGTGTGTGTACAAAACCTTAACAAAGTCTAGTAAATAAACTTAGCATTTAAAAGCATTAATATATAGTGATCTAATAAAATTTATCCTTGGGAAATCAAGGTTAACTTAACCTGCTGAAACATTAATATGGCAAATGAATATAATAAAAGATTTTTTAAAACCATTTTCATCTTAATAGGTATGGGAAACACTTTTCAAACTCTTTTCATAATAAGAATACTTAATAAACAGGAAAATAAAGGAATTTTCTCAAGTTGATGAAGAATATCTGTTTGAAAACTGACGGCTGTCATTATCATAGTAAAATGTTGAAATATTTTTAATAGCAGAAATGAGTGCCATTTTATGAGCAATATAGTGCCAGAAGTTTGACCTTCTGTGACACTGAAGAAAGAGGGAGGTGCAGGGCATGCAATTTTTAAAAGGGCACTTTATTTTCACATTGCTTAATTTTGTATATAGAAATTTTTGTAAAAATGCCTACATCAATGTCGTTATTTATTACACTTCCATTCAAATGTCTGTATGTTATTCAGAATTTCAAGCAAAAATTTAAATTTATATATAAATTTATATATATAAATTTATTTATAGAAATTTACAGAAATTTTTATATATAGAAATATATAGAAAATTTTTATATAGAATTTTATATATAGAAATTTATCTACACAGGAAAAAATCCATCAGATCAAATAAATGAGTTCAACAGGGCTTTGGGACACAATCTCAATGCACAAAAACAAATTGTATTTCGACACATTAGCAAGAAGTAATGGTAACAAAATAATTTCATTTACAATATCATCAAAAAAGTGATGTACTGCAGTACTATTCTCAACAGAAGTCCAAATCAAATGGGTCTCCTGTGCTTACACTGGGCCCTCCAGATCTGTGAGTCTAAATAATTCTTATAACTTTATAAATTAGTTGCATTGCATATTCCATTGTAGTAGCATCAATCTGGTTTAGGTGTTGTGGGCCTTTTAAGAACTGAGGCAGGGGGCCAGGGAGATAGCTCAGTAGAATAAGTGCTTGCCTAGCAAGCAAAGGGTCCTGAGTTCAATCCCCGGTACAAAAAACCTTAGGCATCTTCATTGAATATTCCACTAAATAAATATGTTCATGTTGTCGTGTAGGTATCCCACAGAAAGGTAAAAATGTTGAAAGAGGGGGTGGTAGTCTCTCAGTCATCACAGAGTAATGTCAACTGTTCAGATTAATATACAGTAGCAATTCCCCTACTAGTGGCCCTCAGCCCTGAGTTCTCTTCTTAGGCCTATGCGTTTAGGTATGTAATGAAACATGGCAGAAAGCCACTATAGATTTCTGAGTCATTGATTACATTATTTCACCAGTTGGAAAGAGTGGGAAATGACCAGGATACATTTATAAAAGCTCAGTGAGAGAGTAAAATGAATTTTAAAGTCCTGGGAATTGGCTATGCATTAGTCACTGTAGACCTGAACCCAAAATGTAATAAGGGATAAGAACTACCAAATAGGTGGAAATGGACTTACATGTCACTGTGTTTAGAGCTATTTGTCCTCTGTGATTCTCAGAATTGAGTAAACTGTCTGATACAATGCATTTTCAACATGTGATGTTAAACTCAGTCATAGGTACTTTATAAGTGTAATCTAATTGAATTTTCAGTATATCTTTATTGTATATGTGCTATCACATCTACTTAGTGGAGAAGGAAATTGAGGTACAAAACGTATTTCTAGTCATGTAGCTAGTGCCAAGATTTGATGGTAAATAGAGTTGACCATAGATGCTTTCTCAGGAAAAAAATCCCACATTCAAAAGCTTTTTGTGATCTATAAAGGCTTACTACAATAATGACAATGTAAATCAGAAACAGAAATTAATTCCATTAATGTTCTCAGAAATAATACAACATACATTATAACAATGACCACAGAGCATTACATTAATGAGAGTCATAACCTCCAAAGCTGTATTCAAAATTGGTCTCAGAAAAACTGAATGACAGTAAAGATATATTCACCTTAATATATTTTAGTGCAAGCACAACAGCTTTTATCAATGTAAAAAATTCTTTATTATAAATGCAAATAGAGGTGAAATTATGATTTGTGCAAACTTCTATTCAGCATAGCTAAAATACTTAATGTAGACATATAAGATTTAAAAGTTACTATATCACTTATTTCATACTAAAACCTTTTGAAAAGCTTCAAATTTATTCTTGGAGTTTTTTTTCTGCTATCATAAAACTATTCTCATTTATCATCATAAATTGTTATATACAATCAAAATCAAACTCAGTATTCAAGTTTTGTCCACGAAAGAAAATAAACTTTTCCATTCCAGTTTAATTTAGTCTTTTTATTTGAGCCTAAATCAAATTATAAGTACACTTACAAAATGTTCTTGGCACTCAATATGAAATTTGGGGAAATTATTTTCAAGATTTCCTACATATCATCACTTTACATTATTCATGACTAAAGAGAAGCAAGCATGAAAACACCACAAACTACTTTCTTATATTATTCAAAATGCTGATGCAGAAGAGCTTGCAGTAGAAATATCAATGAAGAAAATATTGCACCAGTAAACATATATTATGGCCTAGAATCACCAAAAATGTTAGCACTTCTTTAAAAAACCACCAATTACTTTTGAGAAATAAGAGTTCAGTGAATTAATAAAAAGAAAATACTAACGGGTATTCTAAAAGTTTCTTGAAAGGCTGAATGTTATGCTTGGAAATGCTGGCATTGACTTATTTTATTTTTAAATGAACATTTTTAGCTAATTCCAATATTTATAGCTATTTCTGATTAAAGGAAAATAATTAGCAGAAATTGTGTGCAAGGTTGACTAATAAACCAGAGATTGAAAATATGAGATAGACATGAAAAGACATGTCTGTCTTGAGGGCCTGTCAGATAGCTCAGTGGATTAAAGCACTTGCTCAGGCAGACACGGGGGCCAGGGTTTGATCCCCGGGCCTGCCATGCAGGCCCTGCTCGTAGGGCATGCTGAGACTGGGCATGGTGGCACACACCTGTAATTCCAGCTCTTGGGAGGCTGAAGAATAGGAAGATCACTACGAGTCCAGTCTGTGTAGTGAGACCCTATAGACCCTGCACTAAGTGCATTTTTTAAAAAAGACATGTAACTGTTGAATGAGGACTCCATTAGCTTCCGAGCACTAGGACACTGTACCTGGCAGCCAAACCATATGGAGAAGAGGCTTACTTTACTTCACAGTTCAGCATATTCACTTTCATTATTTATTTTTTAAATACAATTTTGCTACAGCGACAGAAAGTGTGTGATGCAGCAAAGCTGCTCAATTTGTGGTAGCTGTAAAGCAAAGTAGAGGGGCAATGTGAGAGAGAATGGGCGGAAGGCCATGTGGAGTGTGCGGTGCATGGGTCCATGATCCATGGAGATGTGTGCGTTTTGTGCTTTCCTAACCTGTTGGGTATTTCCTCCTTCATGGAAGTTGGAAAACCAGGATTCAATGTCACACGGCCCAACAGTCTGGTTAGTAAAAGGTTGATAAGCAATTGAAAATGGGGTCCGAAAATAGCCAGTTCCATTAGACCCAGGTATTTCCTTTATGGTATCTTTCTGAAAGAGTTAAATATATTATATTGCAGTGATATAATCATATTCATGTTTATAGCAGCACACTTTATATTGTTGAGTGTAGGAATCATCATGTATGTGTCCATCAACGAAGAATGGATAAAGAAAATGTGCTGATTGGGGCTGGGGAGATAGCTCAGCAGTCTAAGCACCTGCCTGGCAAACATAAGGACCCAGGTTGGATCTTTGGTACCACATGTCGTGCTGGCCATTAACACCGAGTGTGGTGTTGCATAGCTGTAATCCCAGTGCTGGGGAGGCTGAGCCAGGAGAATCACTATGAATCCAAGCCACATGGCGAGACCCTGTTCCAAAGGAAGGAAGGAAGGAAGGAAGGAAGGAAGGAAGGAAGGAAGGAAGGAAGGAAGGAAGGAAGGAAGGAAGAAAGGAAGGATAAAATGGAAGGAAGGAAGAAAATGTGGCAACTGATACATGACAGAGTACTTCTCCGCCCTAAAAAGGATGAACTTGAGTGATTGGTAGGACATAGGTGTAGTACCTTGAGACCTTGAGAGCATAATGTTAAGTGAAATAAAACAGACATACAAGTTTAATGTTGCATATTTTCTCTTATATGAAAAATCCAAAATATAAATCAGGAGGAAAATAAAAGATAGATAACATGAGAAAAGGAACTAGATCTTTAGCAAATGAGATGAGAACCAGCATGGAAAGAGTGGGGAGAAAGGGAAGGGCAGGATATATAAAAAGCATTGCAATGTGGTCTGTACCAGTAGGAATATAATTATCATTATTGCAAACATGTTCTAGTAAAAAATAAAAATTGGGAAAAAAAAGTCAAGAAGATAATTCTGGGTGTTTTTCCATAATGATTACAGATATCAAGCCTCAAATTCCAAAACATCTTGCAAAACTTAAGTGCAGTAAACAAAGTCAAACCTCGTAGTTCATGCATAGCAACTAAACTGCATGACCACTTTTCAATGACATGGGAATGGGACAGCAATAGAGTTGTTGACTATGCTCACATTTCAGGTTTAAATATTTTCCAAGAGTGAAAGTGAAGACTGATGGTGGGGCGTAAGCCTGCAATCACAGATAAGTATTGAATTAAATGCCAAAAAAGAGGTGAAATAGTACATTTTCAGACAATAGAAAGAACAAAAGTTTGTTGCTAAGCAATATCAATATTGTATGTTGTGTGATATGCATACAAATCTGAATATTATATGGCAGTAATATGGAATGATCTGTAATTGTATATATCTATAAGATTCAATTTCAAAAGCATCAAGTGGAGCCGGGGAGATGGCTCAGTAGAATAAGGGCTTCCCTGGCAGGCGCAAGGGCCTGAGTTCAATCCCTGGTTCCACCAAAAAAAAAAAAAAAGTCACTTCAAAAGCATCAAATGAGGTGAAAAAGAATCTAAGGAGTATTTGTGGCATGGGTCAATGTATACCGTGTTCACAATCAATAATAAAGCTGGATAAGGTGACACAAACCTTTACTTCCAGCCACTCTGGCACGAGGCAAGGGATAGCTTGAATTCAAAACTTTGAATTCAGTCTGGGTGGCACAGTCAGACACAGTTTCAAGAGATGAATCAGGTACAACTCAAAAATATATTGTTGAGAGTGGTTACCATTGTACAGTCCAAAGAGAAGAGAAACAGAATGAATGCCTTCAAGTTGAAGATGCTAGGAATACCTAAAAAAGGATATTTGAGAGCATTCTATGTACTGCTCATGCTGTATTTTTAAAGACTTTTGCCAATGTCTTATATCATGAATCACTTGCTGAATTTCTCTGTGCATTTGCAACTCAGAATATCTCCATAGACTCTGAAGATGTTGCACTCACATGATATATATAATTAAACTAACAATAAGAGAAGGGTATAGGTAACTTCTAGGTTGGCAATTTTTGCTAATTAGTAGACTGCATTTGAATCAGTGGGAGTATGTTGGTGGCCTTCTAACTGGTGTTCATATTTTCATTCTTTTTCAATTTCCTTTTTTTTTCTTTTTCAATTTCTTGAGAAGCCTGCTAATTTTTCTTCTGGAGCTATAAGCTTATTTGAGAATCATTCTGTGAATCTGGATAGAAACTTATTTCCCCTATGCATTGGGTTGAATAGTTTGGTGTTTTTGTTTTGTTTTGTTTTGTTTTGTTTTGTTTTTCCTAATAGCGCACGCTGGCCTGCTCTTCAGTCTGGCATTTCTGAGTTCTAGGTCTTTTTATCATACCAGTTGAGATTTTTCTTGGCTCAAGATTGCTTGTGTAGAACAATGCACAAGCAGAAAATTTTTCAAGAGAGAAACAATGTACAAAGTACTCAGTTAGCCACTAATAAAGAGGCATTTGTCTGAACTGCTGATGGCAAGCCATTCCTGCATGCAGAGCTGAGAAATATGCTCCCGCTCAGCAGCATCTATGTGCCACTTGATACCTGGCACCTACAGGGAGCAGACAGTGTGCAGCGACCCTGAGTTCAGCCA